TAAGGTGTTACTAGGTGGTTTCTAGGGTGTTGTTAGATGGTTGCCAAGGTGTTACTAGGTTGTTGCTATGGTGTCCCAGTTGATTGCTATGGTATCCCAGGTGGTTGCTAGGATTTTGCTAGGCAGATACTATGGTATCCTATATAGATGCTAGAATGTTGCAAGTGTACAGGAAGAAGAAGAAAAAGAAAAAGAAGGATATACTGTTGGATAACAATGCTTTGCAATGCGCCATCACTAATGCAGTTGAGTTGAGAACGACCTCTCTCCTTTGTGTCATCTTCACTCCTGCTCTCCTTTTCTGGAAGCATCTCTCAGCAGACACACCCCAACCCTAAATCTTTTATTGTGCTGCAGAGCACTTACTCAAAAACCCAACACACCACGAGACACGCGGAGAACACACCGAGAACGTTCCGTCTGCAATGGCTTACTTAATCACTAGCCCACTTAATCCGAGCCCTTACTTTCCATTAGCGTGGAGAAGGTCAAAGCAGGAGAAAATGGAGAGTGAACCTCAAAGCACTGGACTGTATATGCACTCACTGACCACTTTTCGAGCTCCAACTCCCTTATTTCTAATAGTATTGAGACACCATTCTAATGGGTAAATCCAACTACTTTAAGGTGCACAAACTGCTGACAACGGCGCGCACATAGTTTGTATACTATCCCCACAGAAAAGTATTGATCAATAGAATGGGGATCTGTGGAGCAGCCACACATGAGCCTGAGGTCACCGTGCCTATTGCCAAGCTTCATCTAAAGTGGTGTAAAGCCTTTGGGATACTTTTGGGATGAGCTGGAATTTGGAACTGATCATCCACCATTGGTACCTGACCCCACTAATGTTCTTGTGGCTGAATGCAATCAAATCCTTACAGCAACTCCTAATTAATATCCTTGATTTCAGAGAAAACGCTGGACAAGTAGGTATCCATGAACTTTTAGACAAACAGAATTTTGCAAAAGTTTTAGGAACCTGTATAAAAGCCATTTAGTTAGTGTTTATTTACACGGAGGAAAACTAATATTACAATAAACAATAATAAAATTAATACTACAATAATACTACAAGGTTTTATGTCAATGTGTTCATTTAACCATTTCTATCTCATTTACTCTTTGTAGTTATCATCTAATCTAGCTTTCATTTGGGGCTTTGAAGAGAAATCTGTTTTCCTAACCAGCTCTCAACATCTCAACTACTTTTTTGATAAAAAAGAATTTATTGTTAGTTTTTACTGTACTTATGTTTATTTCTATTTTTTCTAATGTTGTGTAGAATTTGTGCTGGCAAAAAAACACGTTACTGCTAAGATAAATAGTTTAAACTGTTTCTTTAGGTCAGACTTTTGCACAGTACTGTCTAAGGAATCACTTATAGGAATCACTACACAGTAAATATGCACCGGCCACTCTATTAGAAATCCCTTCTCTACAGGTTCACTACACAGGTGTAGTCTGCAGTCTATCTGTTGCTGTTGCTGCATTTATCATCCTTTCTTTTTTGACCACAGGACTACAGTCCAAAGAGGCCATGAGCTGTTCCTATAATTTTGTGGATTGTTATCTTGATATAACGAGTTAATTATCTTGTTATCACAAGATAATTAAACTCATGGCCTCTCTGGACTTCCGTACAGGACCACTGTTGTCCGGATATTAGCGACACTGACATGGTAGTGTGTGCGGTGCTGGGGTGAGTGTATCAGACACAGTGCTGGTGCGGGAGTTTTGCCAGTTGAGCATCCAAAAATATCCGGACAATAGTGTCTCTATGATCACAAACCAACCAGTGGTGAAGGGCTTGAGCAGGGGTCCCTAAACTCTTTGTCTAGGGGGGGCCAAAGTGCAGTGTTTGTGGAAGGCTGAGGGGCAAAAAGAGAAATAAATATACAAAAGAAGGCAGGTGAGTTTCAAAGGTTTTGAAAATGCATGTAAGAGTACACAGCGTCTTGTTCCTAAATTACTTTTTAAGAAGGAAAACAAGAACTTAATACATTACATATTGTATAGTGTAAGGGTAACAACTCCAGCCAAATCAAACCTCCAGTCCCACTTTATATTATTATATACACTATATAGTGCCCCTAATAACTGTGTAGTTACACATGAATAACATATCACTGCTGTCAGAGGAAAACCTCAAGTCTCCAAAATGGTAACTTTACAGGAGAAGGAAAAAACCTACTTTACTTTTAATGTAAGTCAATGGAACCAGACTTTTTCCCAAGTCATTTTGGGTCGTTTCTTCTAGTCCATTCTTCATTAAATTTACACACAATGTAAAAGGCAACAGGCATTTTCAAATTATGTCAAAAACTGAAAAATGACAAAGATGGAGATACGAGGTTTTCTTCAGACAGCAGTGATGTGCAACAACACTGTAACTACTTATGATTTAGTTAACGTTACAGATGGATTCCAGAAGTACAGCCTATGTAATTACACATGTGTATCAACATCAGGACCAAACCTCCTCCTGGGCCAACTTTGTCTTTTAGGCCACACTTTGGGCAGTTGGGCTGCACCAGCGAGGTGGAGTTACAAGGGAGGTGTTTTCGATAAAGTGGCCAGTAAATGCGCAGTAGCTGTGCTTCATTGCTGATGTAAGATTTTGTTTGTGCTAAAATGGTTTTTGGTCTGACCCACAGATAAAAGTGTAAATGCAGCCTCCATTTGGCACAGAGAGAGAGAGAGAGAGAGAGAGAGAGAGAGAATGATAGAGAGAGAGAGAGAGAGAGAGAGAGAATGATAGAGAGAGAGAGGGAGAGAGGGAATGATAGAGAGAGAGAGAGAGAGAGAGAGAATGATAGAGAGAGAGAGAGAGAGAGAGAGAGAATGAGAGAGAGAGAGAGAGAGAGAGAGAATGATAGAGAGAGAGAGGGAGAGAGGGAATGATAGAGAGAGAGAGAGAGAGAGAGAGAGAGAGAGAGAGAATGATAGAGAGAGAGAGAGAGAGAGAGAGAGAGAGAGAGAGAGAATGATAGAGAGAGAGAGAGAGAGAGACAGAGAACTTGAGAGGTTGCACACCTCACCCTGCGTTGCCCTGCACGCAAAATTCATATCGGACCATTAACCAAGATCCAGAGGCACTTGCTTGAGGTTTGCTGATTTATAAGTGGGGCAGAGGAAAAGAGAGAAGTTGAGGAATAATGAATGAAAGAAGAAAGGAAAGTGGTGAGAACATAAGGGGGAAAAGAGAAGAATTGAGGAAACCAAGAATGGGGTCAGAATTGTGTTTTTGGACTGACTCATTGGGTTTGGAGGATCAGTCCCTTCCAGCCAAACAGCCTCTGTGACTACTGACCCACATTCTACCCATAATCCCCCTGACGGGCGTGACACCCCTTTATTCTCCAGACTGTGGCCAATAAGATTAGTGCATTGAGGGGATGAGACCCAATCAGATGCCTGCCTGTTGGGGCTGATTTGAATTGGAATTGAAAGTGCTGTAAAGAAGGGAAGCCCACGGGGCTGCTGAGTTTTGACTATGTTAAAGTCTTCAGTGGGATTCTGAGGCAGAAAAACACTGTTTACCAAATCAGCTTGCTGGGAAAAACACCTCAAATCCCAAATTTACGCCAGCACCAGCACCAAAAGTGCAGTGGGAAATGGACAAGAGTGGCCTAGGAGGGTTAAGTGCTAGTAGCAAGATTAGAAAAAAATAAAAATGAGCCAAAAGTGTGTTTTTACGTTTACATTTAACTTTCTGTAGTGACCAAACATCTCCAAGACAGGGGTTCACCCTGACCATTTCACAGGGGTTCTATTTAACAAACCTTTTTGGTTGGAACTAAATGCTGGAACTAAATGCTAATCACATTTTGCTGGAATTTGTTAACTGTCATCGCTGCTAACGTAATGGTGTGGTGACTGTGATGGTCCCCCCTGCTGAGCCAGTCCACCTGGCATCACAAATGCTGTTCCATTGGCTGAAATTCGCTAAAATCACTATGAAATAAGGCCTTAAAGTATCAATGTAAAATTTTAATAAATATTTCCTTTTTCAAAACAACATTTCCTCAACTTGTACATGTTTGACACACTAAATGGTTTCAGATCCTCATCTAAAATGTAATGTAAGACAAGGAGAACATGTCAAAACAGTTTTCAAGTGATCATTTCATTTACTGAAGGAAAAAAAAATATCTGCCCCCGTAAGCTTAAAAATTAGTTGTTCCAACTTTAGCATTTTTCTGGCAGAGAGCAGAATTCATGGTTCTGTCAATTATGGCAAGTCGTCCAGGCACTGAAACAGTAAAGCATCACTACACCACCACACTACCACCACCATGTTTCACTGTTGGTATGATGTTCTTATGGGATGCTGTGTTGGCTTCACAGTGCTGGCAGTTTAATTGATCCCAATTATCAACTAAATAGGGTTAACTGGTTGGCTGAGTAACCAACGGGGTAATTATTTCTCAGGGCCAGATGGTGTTGGATCATTTTTTTCTTTCAATAAACAAAATGATCATTAAAAAACTGTATGTGGTGTATATTCAAGTTTTCTTTATCTCTATATTAAATTTTGCCTGATGATTTGAAACAAAGAGTGTGGCAAATATGAATAAAGAAAACACTAGATGTTGGAACATTGCTGTGAGGATTTGATTGAGCATTAATGAGGTCAGGTACTGATGTTGGGTGGTCAGTTCTGGATCACTCCAACTCATCTCAAAGGTATTGGATGGAGCTCCATCACTCCAGAGAACATAGTTCCACTGCTAAACAGCCCAATGCTGGGGAGCTTTATACCCCTGTAGCCCATGCTTGGCATATATGGTGACCTTATACAAACTGTGTGCAGTGTAACCTCTATGTCAGTGATGGCTGCACCTTAAAGTAGCTGAATTAAATGAGTAGAAGGGTCTGGATACTTTTGGACACAAACTGTAAACAGTATGGTTTTCTGTGAGTGCTGGAAAGTTTGGTTCTTTGAAGCTAAAATGGAAAGTTGTAAAACAACAGTAAAAAAAAAAAAAACTTTTTACCCGTTTGCGCAGGTTGCAGGTGAGGATGAGGTTGCGCGAGAAGGAGTTGGCAAAGGCTGTGTAGAAGTCCAGCACTTTCAGCAGAGCCTCTCTCCGAATGATGTGGAGATCACAGTAGGTTAGCGCTCTGACGTTAGCGCAGGCATGAGCTAGCGTCGTCTCCTTCCAGAAAACATCGCCAAAAACGTCCCCTTTACCTGAGAGAGGGAAAAAGAGAGAGAGAGAGAGAGAGAGAGGGAGACCCAATGATAAATCACAAAGATAAAGGCCGGAGACAAGAGCTAGCATCACGTTTAATTAGCGTCAATCATAATTAGCCCCACACGCTAAAGCTATTAGCAAATTGTCTAACCTGGCATCTCAATTTTAGCCTCTTTAAGGAACAGAGCAGTGCTGTGAACTCCACACTGAAAAATCATTCAAATAACGACTGTCCACGACCCTCGACTACTTCGACTTTGAAAAGTTTGAGCTACTTTGACAAAGGGAACGTGCTCTGTTCTACTGAATCTTTGCCGCAATTTGCCGGCGTTTATTCCCGTCGAGTCGGAGAGGAATAAAAATCAATCTCAGCAAAAGCTCGGGAACCTCGGAGCAGACAAACCAGATTTCCATGCAAATCCAGAGAGATTCTACTGATTTCATACAGCAAGGATAAACGAGGAAATTAATGTGCCTCAAAGGGGATTTACATTAGCATGAGACAATAACCACAGAATCTAATTTTCTCAATTTCCTTCATTCGTCAACAGCGTTTATTCGAAAATATGGGTTATGAATCATAGATTTGGGATGTGTATCATTAAAAAATAATGATTATTGATGGGCAGTGTGAGAGAGACAGACTGGTAAACCTGAGACTGACAGAAGTGAGAATGAAAGAGACATGTTTTCTTTCAGGTAGTCTCTTTGAGGTAGGCCTAGAGGTTTGAAGTAACAAAGATCAATGACATTACAACCTCCTTCCGTCTACCCTGACAAGTCCCTGGCGCCTATCAACCCGGCCAGTGATCCGAAAGAGCCCTCCTGTCTCTACCTCCACGCAACAGGGGATGAACGTGACATAACCCTCCTAAGCCACCATGGTGTACCTATCTAGAAAAGCCTTCTCTTACATTTTGTTGAATTACTTCACTCATAGCTCACTAGAAGTAGAAGAGGAGATTTTATTATGATTTGAATTTGATGACAAGTTATTGTTATATATGCAGCAATGCTTTAAAGAAAGAAAAAAACAATGATATTTTCAATGAACCATGTTTATCATGTATTATGGATTGTTAAAATAATGCATTATGAATAGAGTTCATAACATGCACTACTGTGCTTAAGCCCTGAAGGGTGAGATGGGGAAAAAATGAAAGTGCCTTCTTGAGTCCAAGTTCCACTTAATTTTTTGGCTTGTAAAACAGACCAAATATAGACAAAATATTTTAACATTGCAGCCATCAAAAACCTTAAAGCTCTTTTTCTCCATAACAATTTTTTCACACTGTATGAAACCTTGGCTAACACTTAGCATACTGCACCTGCTATTGACCAGCAGGGGCAGATGTTTGTTTTCTGCCTTACCCTTGGGGGACCAGGTGAAGCCCATTAGCTGGGGGAGGGTAAGTGTCTAAAAATTAGCATGCTATACCAGCTTCAACCACAAGGGAGCCGCTGATCTTTACCCTTTACCCATGCCATCCCAGCTCTCAGTTCAACTCAACTGAATGCTGATCCGGATAGATACAGAGAACGGTTCTTTCTTATAAATGTTGATTATAATGCTTTGGAAGCGATCATTAGCTTGTCAAGTCTGACAGTAGGAGCACATGTATGAGAGCTACATGCTATCTCAGCCCATTTGGTTAGCTAGAGTTTCTTTACTGTAACTGTCTTGGTAAGTTAGCTATCAAGCTGAGTTTCATGCATTATTCACATATACCTTTAAAGCCTCTGTTAACATGGTTTTAATGCTATAGACCAGCAGAGGGGGCTGTTTTTTCTCCCTTACTGTTAGGGGACCAGGTGAAACCACTTAGCTGGGGAAACTAAGTATTTAAATTTTTTTAAATGTTAAAATTTTTGTTTCAATAGTAAAGATAGGCCACAGTTATCAGTGTTACAAGACATATATATATATATATATATATATATATATATATATATATATATATATATATATATATATAAATTATTCTAATTAAGAGTAGACAAATGCTCCAACGCATAATGATTGACAGTGGCGTCTCTGAGGCAACATAAACAAAAGGACTCCAGTGGCAGTGGTGAGCAATGCTGCCAGTTTGTGTGGTTCCGCCTCACATAAAATCAGACCACTTCACTCTTCTCAAGCGCCCTCTGGATGGTGAGTAAAGAGTGCAAACAGAGAATTAACTGTTTAATGGTCATTTTAGAGATCTAATTAGTTTGAGAACGAGGGCCTTCAGCCTATGATGGGTTGATCATTGACATGGCCGATATTTGGAGGCTCAGCACTAACATTATATCCATAACCTATAGCTAACTAGCTAACTGCTGGACCATGCTTCTGAAACTGAGGTCACACAAGCTCCCATTAAGAGTCAAGATGGTCATATTCTCCACATGGTGGAGAAATTTCTTGTGTCTTATTGTGTATTTGTGCCTGTAAAGTACAAATGTAGGAAAACACTAGCTACGTTTACATGCAGCCTAATAATACATTAATAATCTGACTAATAGCTCAATCAGAATAGAATACGTCCATGTAAACAGCTCAGTCAGAATAAACTAGTCTGATTGAGGCCATTTGGAATACAATTTCTATCCAAATAAACGAAGTGGGTAATCCTGTAAATAATCTGTTAAATAGAAGAATAATATCCGTGTAAACGCCTGTATCTGATTACATTCCCTATCGGAAAGTTTAAGTCTGATCAAGTTCGTTGCATCATAGTGAAAGTTTATACCGTTCAACATGGCGGAGCAGAAACTGGTCTGCAGAGGAGACGAAGTTTATGCTCTGATCTTTAAAAGACGGCGGTGGGACGGACGTCCAGCTTATGTGTCTCAGAACACGACGTCGTCCTCTCGGCCTTCTTTAATAAGGACATGTGAAGGACGTTTTCCTGAGTCTGACATCATTTCAAAGCAATTAAAAACACAAGCGCTGCTCACTGCTGCTCATCTCACTCTGACTGGACTCGCATGATGCTCGTTCTCATGGTAACGTCTACACTAAGCGGTTCTCTACGCATGTGCGTGATTTTGAATCAGATTACTTGTAGTGAGCATGTAAACTGAGATTTTCATCAGATTGTTGAGTAGAGTCAGCACAAACACCTCAGTCTTAATCTGTAATCAGAATGTGTTCAATCAGATTGGCAAAAATCTTTGCATGTAAACACAGCCAGTGTGAGCCTTGATGTTAGAGAGGATCCTGCAACAGATGGCTAACATAAGCAGGAAACAGCGTCTAGCTACACTACAAACAATGGTAACATAAACCTTCTTCATAAGCACTATTAAGTTTTGTCTGGGACTCAGCGGGAGAGCGGTCACTTTATGTGAGGGAGATGAATGCCAGTAGCTGACCTATACAGATTTCTCTGATACTCTGATTGGTGCTTTGGTAGATATGATGTCACCTGCACCAAATTTAGTCCCACCCAACTCAAATGGAATTGAAAGAGCAGCAGCAAAACTACTCAAAAAAAATCCAACAGAAAAAGCCAAAAGCACATGTTCTCTGCTGGTTGAATGTAAAAACATCACAAAAACTAAAGATAATACTCAGAAGAGCATCATGAAAATGAGTACACAGGGGCTTTATTTGGTCATATTTGGTTTTGAAATGTTATACAACCCTTTAAAATTACTTCGTTGTTCTTTCAGTATCAACAACAAAAAAATCTAAGCTCAATGCTACAATTTCTGATGAAATTTTTGCCAATGTTCTGTAAAACCTGTCCAATTTCGCAACAGTTGCTATAAAATAGTGCATTTGTGGGCGGAGCTTAGCTGGAACAGTTAGCAGCTCCACAAAAAGAGTCCAGCTCTCCACTGTGCTAATCAACCACATCTTTTCAAGCCTCTGCAGTCAATTGTCAAAAGTTAATCTCTTAGAGTTGCTCAGAAATTGGCGGGCAGGCTGCACTCTGGCTGGAACCTGGCGAGCGGAGATGAGGCACAATTGAAGGCGGCCTCAAAAGGACTGAGACAAATGGACAGATTTTTCTCCATTCCAGCTCCTGCAGCGCGGCTCCCTGCAGAGCTGTTCTGCTGCTTTCCATCTCGCCATCACCTCCACAGGAGCCAGCCTCCCTCGGCCCACCCCCGCCTCTCTCCCGGGCTGAGGGAGCCCCCCCCGGCCCACCGGCCTCCTGTGGGAACTGATTAATGTTCCGTATGACTCTGTCACCATGACGACTCATGTGCCGTTTACAGTATGGGTTTCAGTGATGTTTATGATTGGAAGTGTGGTGGTTTTTAATGGAAATGGAAATGCAATCAATCTAATTTTCTCTTTTTCCAAATGCAGTCGATCAGCAAAGACATGTTTGGTGTCAGACGCTCACCTAAAAAAGTATGTTTAAAACAGTATTAGTCATCTTAAGGCTTTCATTTTTACAGATAACACTGATTCAGTGTCAGGACCCACATAAAAAAGTCTATTAGAGATTACTTGAGGGGAATTACATCTACTTTTCAAAATTTCTGCATAATTAAATGGTTAAGATGTAAAGTCATTCAGAGTGGTTTGATGTGAAATCAAGCCAGAATTGTTCACAGTGGTGGTGATAGGAACCAGACGTCCACTTCCAAAAGCTCCCTCACAGAAAGTTACTACATGAAATGGTTATGAATTCACTGCCTGATGCCTGAGTGAGTGCGTTTACATGCACTTAATAATCTGATAACCGCAGAAAATCAGATTTTGTCAGTAATCCAGTCAACGCATTTACATGCACTTGTGTAATCAGATAATGGGGAAACTCTGGGTCTACATGAGTCAGACAGTAAACAGATTTCTGCTTTGTAACCAGCCAATAAACTCAGAAGAAGACATAACGTAAAACTCTTTTTTTCTAAAACATTGCGCCACTTTACCTAAGAATATGAACATACATCATCTAGAATACGAAGAACATTTAAATCCTTCATTTTGTCAAGCATGTATTTGGTTTCAGCATCACTCCAAAAGGGAGTGTTGTCTCGAGGCAACACTGCTCGCTTATTTCCGGCGCTGCCGCCTGTTTTTGCACATGCGCAGACTGATAAATGCGAAAGAAATCAGAGTCAGAGTTTACATGCACTGAGAAATCTGATTACTGAGCTAAAATCTATCTCTCTTTATCGGAGATAAATCACAATTCTAGACCTTACTCTGATCTAAGAAATCGGGGTGTGCTGTTTACATGACCATTTGAATAATCAGAAAACTGCAGAATCTGATTATGATCAGATTATTGAGAGCATGTAAACACACTCATTGTTTTGTGACAGTTTTCAATAGTTTTTGGACCAAAGCATAATTTTTATAATTCGTTCTTGGTGGAGAGATAAATGCAGTGCACTGTGAGGCAAAATAGGCCACAAAGGAAGCTTATTTTTTCAGATTTATCACTATTTTACAATAAGTATAAAACTCAGAAGAGGGTGTAGGTTCACTGGTGTTTTTGGATGGTAAATAAAATGTCTATATTTGTGTTGTAGCTCCAATGTAAAAACTAAAGAGGTAAACTTCAAACACCAAACTTGTCTTGACTGATCGACTACGTTTGGAGTAAGGTTGGAAATGTGTACATTTTATTCTTTTTCCAGAACTATTCCTTTAAGAATGTCAGAATATTTATCCTGTGCACCTTCACAGTCATTCTTTTCACCTTTGTGTGTTTTCTTGTTCTTCGCTTTTTAATTCAGCATCTGGTTCCAGACTCACCGAGTATGGCGATGACTTCATCATCCTGGATGACCTCTAGTGACCCTGACACCACAAAGCAGAGTGTGTCCACGCTCTCCCCGGCGTGGAATATGAGGTCACCGGGTGCCGAGTGGATGGTTTGAAACTCCACGGCCAAAGAGCGCAGGCAGCCGTCGCTGGCCAGCCTGAACGCAGGGTGCTCGTTGAACACCTTCCTGTTCAGGTGAACGCAGATGTCCGCACGCATGTCCTTAGGACATATGGACAGCACCTGTGGACAGGAGGATGAATGTCAGTTATAAGATTACAGGGGGGTTACAAGCCAGAGGCTAAGACCACCTTAATGCTTAGAAGTCTAGAGTTATTACTGAAGTATTTAAATGTAATTGCATAACTTAATTATATGGTTAGTTGCGTATTGAATTACACTCATATTCGATTTGCATTCTATATCGACAAGTTCAAGTCTGCACGTCTGACTGCTTTAATATCAACACAATGACAAAATATAATTAAATATTTCCTCTTCTATGTATAAAACCAACTGTGATATGGACTAAAAGATTAGAACCTGCATTTTCCACAAAGTTTCTCCATCTCACAATGAGCTAAAAGAAACAGTAAAATTACAGTATGCTTTTGTTATCAACAACAACAACAACTATGACAACTCAATGCTGCAGCTCTAAAAGGATGTCGAGAAGCCCTTACTGAGAAAGGAAATGGAAAAAATGGAAAAACTTGCAAATCAACACTGAAGACCTCAACAACATCACTGAATGTGTTTACTTGGATGGTGAGAAGCAGAAAATGATCAACCAGCTTCTAAGACTGAACTTTGGAGGTGTGTCTGCAGATTCTTTGAGGAACTGAAAGTGAGTCTCCTGAAAAGAATGGAAGCTGCAATAAAGGTAAAGAGCGAACACAGTAAATACTGAATAATTCATATTTAGTTGTTGAGGCCTCTGTATAATTTTCTATTAAAAATATGTCCTAATAGTGAAAAAAAAAAACTTAATGGCCACTTTGAATGAAAATTAAGAGTGTTCTCTGACCTCTGCATAGTGCTGTATTATCTTAAAAACAGAGAATGTTTCAGTGCTAAATAGATCTGAACAGAACTTGTTTGTCATGACCCATTAATAATCTGACTAATAGCTCAATCGGAATAGAATACGTCCATGTATACTACTCAATCGGAATAGACTAGTCCGATTGAGGCCATTCAGAATACAATTTCTATGAACGAGGTGGGTAATCCTGTAAATAATCCATTAAATAGAAGAATAATATCCGTGTAAACGCCTGTATCTGATTACATTCCCTATGGGAAGTTTAAGTCCGTAATGATCATGTTCGCCACGTCATAGTGAGAGTTTATACCGTTCAATATGGTGGAGCAGAAACTGGTCTGCAGAGGAGACGAAGTTTATGCTCTGATCTGTAAAAGACGGCGGTGGGACGGACATCCAGCTTATGTGACTCAGAACACGACGTCAGATTATTGAGTAGAGTGAGCATAAACACCTCAGTCTTAATCTATAATCAGAATGTTTTCAATTAGATTAGCAAAAGTCTTTGCATGCAAACACAGCTATTGTATGGCCTGTATTGTAGCTTCTTTCAGTTTCTGTTATTGAATCCTCTTAGTTTATGATTGTTATGCTATGTTAGCCCAAATTGCTTGGGATAAATTAGACCAAGCTTTAAAAGCTGCCCATCTGAAAGCGTAATTTGAACAAGTGACAAGAGATACAAAGGTTTTGAATCTCGTTCTTTGATATTCCATTTATTATCCTTGCACTGGTAATTAAAAGCGTTAAGATGAAAATATGCGAAGATGTTCAGTTGTGAGTTGAGTGGATTAATTAAAGCCTAATTTTTAACTAACCTGAACTGCTTTGTCTGTAAGGACAGATGTTCTCTTTTAATTAACCGAACCATGAATTGTAGAGGGTGCTAGTTCAAAAACCCCTTTTTGACCACCTAAATTCAAATTTCAAACAGTATCACCTGAAGAACGAGCAGAAAGGTTTGCTTTGATTCATGCTAACTTTATGCTAAGTACTTTAGATTCACACTTCAGCATCAGCACCACTTTTACCAATTTCACTGAACACTATTATCTGTCTCTCCAATGTGTCTTAAAATGGCTACACAACTTGAAATAAAGCTTGAAGCTGCAGCCAAACTTATACAATTGACTGGACATTTTAAGGTTTCTGAGTGAGAAATAAAAACAATTCTGAAAGTCTGGACGGTTGATGCAGATGGACTGAGCTTTATCATGCTAAATATGCTGGGGGCAAATCTTCTTTGGGCAAACACAAAAAGCAAAATGAAATGAAAATTAGCAATTTGAAAGTAAAATAAAACTGATTACATAAATTACAATAACACAAAGTGGACGGCTATTAACTGAAGGGTCATCCAGCATTTGAATCAGGGATCTCTTGTATTGGGAATAGCGGTCATAGCTAACAAAGCAAAATATTGCAGTTTCACCACCGGCTGTCATTCGTCTTTATCTGAGCCGTGATGAATTAAGGACTTTCTGATCAGTGTCTTGGTTTTAAAATGTTCTCTTTCACCATTTCATTAAATTTCAGGAGCAGTTTTCTAATATGATTCTGTATCTTGACCAAAAATCTTAATCTCAGCTTCTACCTGCCAGTGAAGATGTAAATATGTCCAGCTAGACTATTCTGACCTTCTCAGTGTCGATGCCCTTGGTCATGGACCAGGTGGAGACGATATAGTCCATCACTCGTTCGCTCAGGCCCTTGGGCACCTGGTAGAGCTTCAGGAAGTCCCTCACATTGTTCAGCATTTCGTGGTAGCGGTTTGTGTTCGCGTACATCTGCTGGAAGATGGTGGTCACGTTACCGAAGATGGTGGCGTAGAGAAGAGCTGGAAGAGAGACATAGAGACAAAATCAGTCGCTAAAAATGACAAACAAAATGAAGGCTGCATAGAATAGTAGAATAATATGTCCACTAGTGGGCACTGTGGTGGTCGACTAACTGGGGACAGTGCCTGGTTTTAGAAGTACTGCGGTGGAAAAAACAGTTCCACTGAAATTAAGTAAAACTGTGCTGAAATATTCTTAGTTTAGGTTCACACTTGGCAGGTTTGCTTTAATGGACCACTGTAGTTGGGTGTCGTTCTGTAGTTCACGTTATGCCCATGTTAGGAACTCCGGGTTGATTTCTCTAAGAACAGAATGAATGGGTATATCAAAACATAACCTCTGTCTCAAAATGTTCAGAACCCAACGCGTTTTGTCCTGTGTACATTTTTCTCCCGAATACCACTGGATCCTCTGAGCTCCGAGGTCACTGAAGAGCCTTAAGACTACTATTGCTACATGCGAGCTAAAGCCACTACGCATCAATTTCACGTCACTAAGCTAAACAAAGGAAGGCTATGGATGTTCTGACGAGTTGTGCTATCTTATCGAAATGTCCTACCGTAGCCTACCGTATTTATAGGTATGCCCATGAATAAAACTTTTATATAGGATATTTCGATAGCCTAAAACTCCTTATCAAAAAATACTATATACTGAATACTGAATATAGCTTCTTTTTCTGGTTTTCCTGTTCCACCTTAAATGGTGCAGCAGTTGTGATTCAGCTATCACAAACATTAGCAAATAAGACAAAACAACACTGACCTGTTCTGTGAAACAGCAAAAATATGTTTATGTTACTCAGCTGTGAAGCAGAAACGAACCAGCCTGCTCATATCAGGCTTTTCAACTCCTGCTCCACCTTAAATGGTGCAGCAGTTCAGAATGTTGCACCATTTAAGGTGGAACGGAAAAAATAGAATGAGAAGCTGCTGAAAGTCCTGAGAAAATGTCCTCAGAAAACGTTACAGGCATCGTTAGTAATAATAATTAGGATAATTAAGTGAATAATTAGCGTATTCAGCTGATCAGGGGGTCAGCAGTAATGTTAAGCTGAGTCTGTACTGAATTAGCCTGAGTGCAGGTAAGTTTGTAGAGCTTTTTAAATCAAGCTATGAACAGAAGGGAAAGATCTGATGTTTCAGCCAAAATCAGAAGAAGAGCAGAAAAGTGCAGGGAAATCTGCTTCTTTTGTTCTGGATTTTTTTACCTGCCCTCAGTCTGTACATGGAAATACGCTACCACACTGACAAAGCGTGCTGGTTTGCATGGTTTTTAATGAGGCTGCCAGTCTAATGATGTGAATTCCATGCGCAGTAACATAAGCTTACATGTAGCAATATTCATATTTCAAATCTTACCTCGTAATCCAGAGGATCCAGTGATATTCGAGACAAGAATATTTATCAGCTTTGTAACGTTTTTGATAATCCCAGGATGCAAAAAAGGCAATTTCCGAGAATTCCATTCATTCTTGTCAAAGAGTCATTCCTTTTAGACCCAGAGTTCCTTATATGGGCATAAAAACATGGCACAGAATGACGGCACGTCTACAGTGGTCTATTAAAACGAGGCTTACATTTGCTCTGTTATTGTGCTTCTTTATATCAAGGCCGAACACCATTCAAAGCCTGGCAGGCAAAATGGTCTTGGTCCAATGTTGGTTGTAGTAATGAGTGGTAGGGGCAACACATTATAACACAATATAATTAAGATTACTGATGGTTTCAGTCTGCATCACAGTATAGTGTATTTATGTATATTTTTTTCAAATAAAACCATTTTGGATGCTTTTTTGTAGATTAACAATGCTGTATTACCCTGCATGCCCCTTCACTTTTAATAAAAACATATTTAACTACTGTAAATCTAAAATATTTTTATTAGGCAACATATTAAAAACAGAAATGCACAATAAACACCGATGTCAATATTGCTTTCTAACCCTAGCGAGATAAAGGCGAGTGTATGTAAAGCCCACAGCAGCTTCTCTGAGCACTGCAAAAATGGCGCTGAATGTTGCTTTAATCTACGAGCATCAGACGCTGCTGGAATTTAGTAAATATTTCAGGCGTTCACTCTATCAGTTTTAGCCGAGAAGCTGCAGAGCCGCCTTAAGCAGCTGGCTGAGCAAGGAGCACCATAGGCAGTGCACACAGAAAGCTGGCTGGTATCCATGCTAGGCTGATGGCTAACAGCTAACCCCAAGAGACTGGCTTTTCCTTCCACTCTATTTTCCCTCGTTAACTCATTAACTCATTAAAATCTCATGTCGCTCCTTTGACAATAAACTGGACTAATTTAACTCACTGCATGAGAGGTAATCTGCGTGTTTTGCACTGTTTATACGTCACATTATCTGCATTTATTTGCACACAGGTGTAACAGTAATGACAAAACAAATACCTTAAAAAGAATTTCAACCCGTAAACTGGATGAACCGGTATGTCGCCCACTACTAGCTGGTTTGTTTGAAGTATGAATGCAAAACAGAGCAAAGACGTCTATACTGAACTGGATTGTAGAATTCACTCTAAATACTAAAAACGGAAATATTTCTGATGCTCTTTTGACACATGGATATGTTTTACGATCTCTACTGAGCTCCGAATTGATAATTCCAGCAATTAATATTTTTTATTTTAAAACTTGACCGAGGCACAAATCAAAGCCACTTTAAAATACTCTATATACACACATGTAACAGCACATATCAATTAAATCATGTATTAATGTGCCAAGTTTTCTTTAAAAGCTGTGAGCTGCTGAGCTGCTTGAGGCTTGTGTTACAGTAATTTTACTCTGCTTCACATTGTGGGAAAACTATGGTAACCCACTGCCTCTCATGGGTTATAGCTTAATAATATGACAAGACACATACAGTATAAAACAAGTCACTCTTAAAACCCATGAGCTCAGTTAGGCCGGAGTACAGCATGGCTCCAAAACATCACTAAATGTAAGTCATAACCTTTTTCTGTATATGATTTCTGTTTATATCTTTTGGTTTGATGTCAAATAAGTCAGCATGAACACTGAATGTGTCATGTATAAGTTCTGCTTCACTCTGGACCAAAGGAACCGAACTACAGACATAAACACACCTTTAGCCTTGTGAGCCAGATCACTGATTATGACCAGAGAGTTCAGCAGGTTTCCACTCTTAACGTGTCTGAGAACCACTGACATTAACCCCTTAACAACCCAGGTTTATTTCATACAAAGGCTTATTATTCAGTAACTACAGGGACTTCAATGCAAACTAATGGAGCTATTCTTAGGTTATAGAAGTGTGTAATAAAACATGGCTTGTTAAGGGGTTAACAAGAAAGGGCCACTTGACTGACAAGCAAACTGGCCAATGACATGCTGTTATTTTTACTTAATGTGTAGGGATGCGTGATTGTGGTACTGTGCTGTACTGAGCTTCTACAAGTTGAAGCAAAGGGTGGACGATGCCTCCTTAAAAATGCAGGTAAAGCACAAACGATTCACACACACACACATACACACTCACACACACACACACACACAAACACAAACACACACATAAACACAAACACACGCACGCACACACACACACACACACACACATACACACACACACACACAAACAAACAAAACACACACACAGGACACTTCAGCTCATCAGCGCTGCGTGATTGTGGTACTGTGCTGTACTGAGCTTCTACAAGTTGAAGCAAAGGGTGGACGATGCCTCCTTAAAAATGCAGGTAAAGCACAAACGATTCACACACACACACATACACACACACACAAACACACATACACACACACACACACACATAAACACAAACACACACATAAACACAAACACACGCACGCACACACACACACACACACACAAACACACACATAAACACAAACACACGCACGCACACACACGCACACACACACACACACACACCATCCAAGCCGCTTACCCTCCTGGGTCGAACCTCCAGTTCGCCTGACTGCATGTCTTTGGACCACGCAGACATGGGGAGAACATGCAAACTCAACACAGAAAGGACCCTGGTTGCCCGGCCGGCGAATCAAACCCAGGTAAAGCATGGGTGTCCGTTCAGGTGAAGTGTGGGTGTCAAACATGTTAAAAAATCTGAACAAATCTCTGTGTTTTAATTTAATTTATTTGGTTTTTAAATAATATTTTTGCTATTTTGTTTTGTCAGGTTATTTTATAACCTGGCCACTGTTAATTCACAATATGGAGAAACGTCAGCAGCAAAATATAGGAACTTGTAGTAGACCTTAAATTATTACATGAAAGCTTGAAATATTACACTATGAAAAAGTCCCCCCCAAAAAAGGAGGCAAGTCCTTTAAACCTACCTGTTTGCTTGAACTCACACCAGGCATGTTTTTACTTAGTTCTTTATTCTTGGGATCAGTTTCTGAGCTGCTGAGCTAAATGTTTATGTTGGCTAAACTGCAGCTGAAACGTGACTATGATTAGATAGATTGTTGTTGGGGGGGGCAGTGCATGCTGGGGATTGTAGTGCAGCACACTGTGAAATGGACTAATATTAATAGAAAATATTATATAGAAAATATAGGCCGGTTAGGATTGTGTTTTGTGCCTGATCTGGCCCGCAGGCCTCGTGTTTGACATACCGGACGCAACATCTTTAAGGCGAAATATTCTAGCCGAACGTGACTTGCAGAGACATTTTTTATTAATCTGATCTGAAGGAATGCGCAACTATATGAAGTTGGCCTTTGTAGAAAACTTGCAAGCGTTACCACGGTACCCTGTGCTCTTTTTCTCCATGGCAACCTCACCCGAAATAGTTCTGCAAACACTTCATCGTCACTCATGACCAATAAAGAGTGAATAAAAGGGAGGAAATATGAAGGGGCAGGGTGAAAAGAGGAGAAAGAAAGGAGGCAAAATGGAGAGAAAAAGAGAGCAGAGTGATTCAAATCACAGCCTGTTATCAGACTGAGTCAGCAATGGCACACTGCTGAGAGAGAGAGA